TATGTATATATATATATATATGTATATATATATATACATGTATATACATATTTACATATACATACATATATACATATATATATATATATGTATATATATACATATACATACTTCTTTTATTAGAATTAACAAGTATATCAATATGCTATTTTAGAACTCGTCAAGATTAGTTATGTGGAATTATTTTCCTAAAGGATATTCTAAATGGGTTTGGATTTAGGGATGACTGGGGATCCGAAACCCGACAAGTATAATTATCAAAACTAGATTAAATATCAACTGGTCAAGGCTCAGGTCATTTGGTCATTCATTTAATCGATGGGTTAACTAATCGAACCATATATTTAATATTTTAAAAAATAAAAAAAAATATGTTAAAAAATATAAAATATATGAATAATATTATAAAAATAAAGATATGATTCAATAAAATAAGATGCTAGGAATGAGATAAACATATTTAAGGGATATTATTTATTTGATAGTAAATAAAAATTCAAGCATTTAATTTATTTTAAGATTTAGATGGTCTTTTATTACAATCAAGCATTTACTTACAATCTTTTATTTTAATTTAATTACAATCAAGCATTTAATAAAAATTCAAGCATTTAATTACAATCTTTTATTTTATTTTTTATAATTATATTTGAAATAATATCAAAATAGAAATATTATAAAGAATTAAATGGAAATAAAAAATATTAAATATAAAAGTATTTACGCTATTATGTAAGTTCGAACCCATGATATTTTATAAAGGATGTACTTTAGTTACCATCCGAGTATTATATATTAAAGAATTAATAAGATTAAGAGGGTCCATAAACACTCATAACGATCTGATTAGTGAACCGAACCGGGTAGGGGTCGGGTTCAGGGTCGACCGAGCGGACAACTAATCCCTTCTTCTTCGTATATCTCGCGCATTGAATACCGAATTAGGGTTCCTATTTCTTCCGCGAACAGCCAGTAGCATGTGGTGTGACACCTCGCACCCTTCTTCCTCTTTTCTTCTCGATCGATCTCTGGACAGCGTTACAGCTTGTATATTTGGTATTTATCATGATTTGCTTCTCTCACTTCTTCTGTGCTCATGGATTAGGCTAAATTCCGCGGCGGCGCTAGATTGTCGTCCCCTTCATCATGGCGGATTGGCTGACCATAATCCTTTATTGGAAGTTTGTATCTTTTCTTAGTTATCTTAGGCGGGATGCAATTGGTTAGCGAAAATTTTTGATTCAATAAGTTAATTGTAGATGTTGTTTCACAAAGTCGGCTTATCACACTAAAAAGGAGGTACTGCAATTGCTATGCCCTAGTGTCCTATCCTTTTTTTCCCCTTATGATTCAACTCAAGAGCCAAATTTGTATTCGACTATTATTGTGAAGATTCTAGCTTTTAAAAGGCCCATCTGGTATGCAACTGATTTAGATGGTCGTCTGTGTGGCACACATACAATTACGCAGACTTCATAATGGCTTGCCTTAGTTGGAAAAGTTGAAACAAGGAAGCCAGAATAGTAAACGTAGTGAAGCATTTGGCTTTGTGCTTTTTTTAGGTTGTTAGCACTTAGCTGAGTGAAATTGTAGGAGTCCACTTTTCTTAAAGCAGTGTTGAGATGCGAGCAATGTGATGAATAGGATTCCTAATGTGGAAAATTCATCATATGTAGATGGATAACTTCTTCAATTTTTTTATTATGAAATTACTGGTCAGTAAATTTAGGAAAATCATTAAAATTGAATGGACCTTCTAGCAATATTACTCCTTTAAAACAGTAATTTTATGAGATTAGATGCCACAACTTGTTTAGTTGATTGATATCTAGTTCCACCCCACACATGACCAGGCTTCTTATTTTGATCTTCTAGAAAACCATTATAAAGTTCTTTTTGACTGCAAGAGCTTTCCATTTCATTTCTTATTGTAAATAACCATTTCCCTCTCTACTTGGACTTCGTATTGTTTATTGATTTCTGTTCCTACTGTAATCACATTATGAGCTTATATTACTTCATCTTTCTGCCTCTGACAGGAAAACTGTGCATAGAAGTAACTCCTGGCTCAAAAATTGCTTTTATTTCTGAGGAGTTATGCATTGGATGTCATATTTGTGTTAAGGTCTTTGGATCTTCCCTTTGGTTTCTATTGTCCATTTCGGTCTTCAAGTATTTTAAGATATATCTAAACTCTGTGATTGTTTGTTATTTGGTTGTAGAAATGCCCATTTGAGGCGATTCAGATTATCAATCATTCAATCTACCAAAGGATTTAGATAAAGATACAACCTACCGGTATGGTCCAAATATATTTAAATTGCACAGGTTGGCAGAAATTTTTATTTCAGAACATACATGATGTTATAATTTTTGTTTCTATAATTTTCTTTTATATGGATTCTGTATAATGGATATTTATTACACAGGTTGCCAGTTCCAAGACCTGGACGGGTTCTGGGTCTGGTTGGGACAAATGGTATTGGAAAGTCAACTGCACTTAAAGTGTTGGCTGGGAAGTTGAAGCCTAACTTGAGACGATTCAATGTAATGCCTGATGAGGGTCTTTTCTTTTTGGTTATTTCTGAAGGATGCTTATTTGTTATCCTTGAACTTTTGTCTATTTGCAGAACCCTCCTGATTGGCAGGAAATATTGATGTATATCCGTGGCTCTGAGCTTCAGAATTAGTTTACTCGTATACTGGAAGACAATCTAAAGGTGATTAGAAATGTGTCTTGAATTAGTGTAACTTTAGCTTTCTTTGTTAGTATCACTTTGGTGATGACATCAGTTATATATTTTGTTAGATGATCCATGTGCCTTTGATTATCCCTAAACAGAAATAGTTCTTCACACCATCTGTCTATTCAGTCTATGGCTAGAAGAATGTTGATATGGTTAATGGTCTGGAAAGAAACTAACGTGGTCCATGTTTCCTTTATCTCCGATGTCATTAGATTTTTGAAAGCTACTATTTGCCAAGGGAATGTCTACAAAGAACGTTATACAAGTTGAGTTACACTAGTCGACAAGTTTGACAAGCCATGGGAAGGTGTTGTTGGATGTACATATAACGCATAGAATCTTGTAAGCTGCATGGGTGAGACCAGAACACAGAAATGTGCCATTCATGGGATGTTTGGATTTTAAATTAGTTTGATACACTGCAACTACTGAATGGTTTGGATACCTCATCAAATTCCAATAAAGTGACTAGAGTTGAAGTGATTAGCTTGGACTCCGACAAGGTAAGTGGCTCGTCGACCCAAATAGTGTTTTTAAAATATTAATTTTTATTTTTAAATAGTAAAAATCTGGGGGTAAGCATTTATTTCTATTGCTTGGATATGATAAAGAGGTATAGGCTTTGCTTTAAATATGATTCCTGTTCTTTATATACGTGTACCATGATATACTTCGATGATGTGTTAGTGTGATTGTTTTAATCATGAACTTTTGTTTATCATGAATTAGTGCATGTGAAGATGTATGTGGTTATAGCAAGTGGCAAAGAAGATCAGTGCAAATGTTATATATGTATTTATGTATTTTTAAGTTAGTTCTCATTAATTCCACTACGAGTGATTATATTATTGTGGATTCCAAAGGTAGTAAACCTTCAGATCGGCGAATGGATGATGTTTAAGTCCACCGAGGTGGAGTCAATGAGGTAGTATGAGAGTGATATCTGATAGTAGCCTTGTAGGGGGAATCATAAAGAAAATATTTTATCAGATGATTTTCTAGGGTAACGTGCTATCATCCTACGAGAGATGTACCCTTGGGTGGTATACCCGTGACTCGACACGTTGGATGGCATTTAAGTCCACCAAGGATGTTGTCTATACGGTGGGATTTGATTCCCTCGAGTTTAGTATGTACCTGACTATCTTAAAAAGTATGCGACATATGATATATGTATAAAAAAAGAAAAAAGAGAAATGTAATAATCCATGAATATGAGGGCACAATGTATGTGATAAGTTGGAGTATTTCTTTATTCCTGCACTTATTGATCTGATTGTATGAAATGCATATGCTATTAATATTATTATTTTGTTTGTGACTTGACTAATTATAATGAGTTTAAATCCTTGCTTATCAGCCCTATGAGGAAGGCTTGTTTACTTAGGTGTTTTATTTAAATATTCACCCCACTTACCCCATCTCCACAGTTAATTCATCGAAGAATGTATGGTTGATCTAGGGTTGGATATGCATCTTGGTACTCCGCATGTGTCAGGAAGAATTATATGTTAAAGGCCTATTGAAAGTAATTATTTAAATAGAAATGTGACTTGGATATATGAAATAGTTAGGTGATATTCTATGATGTAATAATCTTTTGTTCTTGTATTAAGTTAAATCTCTTGAGTATTGTGATTGTCTTTTTGCTTTATGTAGTTATAGTGTGTATTAGTTTTCCATTTGGGTGACCGTGAGTTAGATTGGAATAGAAAAAAATGTATGGTCAGACTTGAACTAGTCTAACTCGTGGTCATCCGTGCATCGTCATGTCCTTCGATTTGGGGGCATGACACTCATTTGAACGACTTGTATGTTCTTAGATGAGTTCAAGTCAGTAGAAGTTCTTGTAGATGCTAGTGACTATATATTTGCCCCTGATGAATAATTATCCTGATGTACTAAAGGAGAAAACCCATCTTTATTTGTTTTGTGAACTTATTAAACAATCATCCTGAGTTCAAAAACTGTTTGATGGTGTCTTAGGGATAAAAATTTAAATATAAGCATCATTAATGTAAATAGCTTCTACAGAGAGCTGGCATCAGTTATGTTGGTGAGGAGGTGAGTAAAGCTAAGTGAGTTACTTTGAATTTTTTTCCCCATATTCTTAGTTCCTCTTAGAATATTGAGGCATAGCTTGTTTGTAATGATTTATGACCTTGTCAGTGTCTACCAGATCTTTTGGCTTGTGAATTTTGTTGCAAACGTAGGCACCAGTACAGAAATTTCACTACCTAAACCTGAGTTATTTAAGTGTGCAGCCTTCAAGAACACTTTCTACAGTGTGAGCTTTGGTTTGTTGGCCTATTACATCTCAGGATGAAGCTACCTGATTTGGAGAAAAAAACAGATCTACATTTTGAATATTTATGGAAAAAAGGAAGCTTTATCTTGATAAATCATTAATAGTTTTTCTTTGAACTTGTGGACTGTAGGTTGTACTGGATCTACATAGCCTCTGCAACCTAAAACTGAACCATGATTATTCACCAGGCAAAGCTAAAGGAAAGTGAAGCTGCTGCAATCTACAAAGGAATATGTTGGTGGCCAGATGCAGACAAGCCATAGGAGTGCTAAAAGGGAGAGAGAGAGAGAGAGAGAGAGGACTGCCCATGGCTGCCTCTATTCAATCCCAATAATCCAATGTCAGCTTACAAATGCTGCTTCTACTGAAGATTGTGACTAATTGTTCTAAATTGTTTTGGTATAAATTGCCACTGATTGTTCTAAATTGGTTTATTGTATATGTATATTCACAATTATGCCCAACAATTGCTTCTCTCACTATTAATTCATCATTTAGGAACATTAATTCATCTATTACTTGGGAATCAAATCCTTTCCTACTTTTCTACCCAAACTCATCTCAGCTCCATATGGTTTTAGCTGGTCAGGTAGATTCAGATGCATGAAAAATAAAGATTAGGGTCATCATAATTTTATCTTGTTTGTCACAGGATTCATATGATAAATAAAGATTCCTTCTTTGATCATAATTACCACACGTTTAACTCTTCTTCTCAATGGAGGATTGACTCATGCCTCATCAAATCCCCATCCAATTAGAACAGTTGGGTAAATGGAGGTTCTGAGAGTGCCATTCATGTGGCCAAGCCTATATTGCCAACCTTGCGATACACATTCACTACCATCTCCTGTTGTGAATGCACTGCCACCTCCTTTTTGCCCTACTTTATCATATAACAAAAGCAGGAAAAATTAAGAAGGATGAAGAAAGAATATGAAGAAACATGTAACACAAGCAAAAGTATTGAAGAAGGGAGAAAGAGAAGAAGATAAACCACAAGAGGCTTCAGTGAGTATTTATTTAGGTTTCTCCGAGCATGCTTGTGTTCTCATTCTTTTCTCTTCGTTATCAGAACAGAAAGAAAGGCTTCGAATTAGAATTGACTTGCAGTGTCAACAAATAAAGGGTGTGGAAGTATAAAGAGAGATGGAGGAGAAACAACATGCAGGCATGAGAAGAGGAGTGTTTCAGAGTTCCATGGTGCAGCAGATGGTGGAAGGAAAACCAACCTGGTGGTGGACCACGAACGGTGACATGAGACCACCTCCTCGGCCCTCTTCTTCTTCTTCTTCTTCTTCTTCTTCTTCTTCTTCTTCTTCTTCTTCTTCTCGGTCCTCGTCGTCTTCTTCGGTCTGCCCTCAGTTCTCACGGCCTTCTAATACTCCATTGACTTCTTGGCAAGATGGCCAAGGCATACCAGAGTCATGGTGCCAACTCTTGTTGTAACTCTCTCTCTCTCTCTCTCTCTCTCTCTCTCTCTCT